AGGTGGCCTCAGCGTAGGTGCGAGGGGTCGGGATGTCGTAGGCGTCTGGGTCACCCTCAGGGACTAACAGCATGGAGCAGAGATGGGGAGCGGCCTCGGAAAGGAAAGCAAGCTCGTACTGCCTGTTCTCTAGGACGTCACTGCCAAGGGCAGAAGCACCCCCGACGGACGGAGGACGGGCAGGGTCAGAGACCAGAGCGGTAGCGTAGTCAAGGCGGCGGGTAGAAGCGAAGTCAGCGACAGGAGCGACAAGCGCGTCAAGGCGCGACACAGGAACAAAAGGGTCGGTAACAAGAGAGGCAAGGACCCGAGGGACAAGGGGACGAGCGGCACGGAGGTAGTCAGAGAACGGAGGAGGTGCGACAGCAAGGGACGAGGGAGGAGGGGACGGGAGGAGGGGAAGACGAGACGAGTGGGAACGGAGCAACATAGGGTGGGAGCGCAGGACAGGCGAGACAGGACGAGCACGGGAGGGACGGCGAGACCAAACGTGGGACCGAGGTGTAGGGTCAGGGGACAGCGGAGGGGACACAGGAGGGGAACGAGGAGGAAGACGGACCGGAGACGAGTCCGGCGGCGGGAACACAGGACCGTAGACAAAAGGGTCAGAAGGCCGTGGGGGAGACACCGGCGAGCGGTCCGTGGAGGGAAGGCCGAGCAGGCGGAGAGCGGAGACCGGCGGCGACGGCTGCTGCGGCTGATGCGACGACTGGGCCAGAACCCTCGGACCGGCAGAGGCAGGACGACCGGCGGCGGAACCCTCAACTGTAGCACCCCAAGAACCAACACCCCCAGAGCGAGAACCCCCTCCAACACCAGCGGCACCCCCAGGAGCCGCAAGACGAACACCCTCCTCCACACCAGCACCCGCATGGGCCAAGAGCGGCGGCGGCGGAAGCGGCGGTGGCAGCGGCGACGGCAGCGGCGGCGACAGCTGCGGCGGAGGCGGCGACTGCGACAGCGGAGGCAAAGACATCAGGGAAGGGGGACGCGGCAAGGACGGGCCGGGGGTACCACCAGAGTCAGCGGACTCCTCAACGGGGACAACCGATGGGAGGGGAGTGACGTGAGAGACACCAGACGGGTCAGGGCGAGGCGGGAGAGGAGCAGGGGCTACCGGGGGAGAGGGAGCAAGGAACAGGGGCGGGGCAACCAGGAGACCTCGGTGACGGAAGCGGCGGTAGAAGGAGACAGACTCGTCAAAGGTGACGTCACGAGAGTGGAGGAAGTGGTGAGACGGCGAGTGGTAGACAAGCCAGTCAGACGAGTCCAGGGGAAAACCGAGGAACACACAGGAGACAGTGCGGGCAGTGAGCTTGTCCGTGCCAGAGGCACGAACGTGAGCAAGGCAGCCCTAGACGTGGAATGCAGACGCGTCACCGGGGGACCCGGTCCAAAGGAGGGTCGGCGAAACCTGCGGCCGCTGGGAGCGTGGCCACAAGTTAAGCTGGTGAGCAGCGTAGCGAACAGCGAACGGCCACAGAAAATGGGGGGCATCGGCATGAATCATGGAGGTACGGGCGACCTCCATGACCAAGCCGATGCGGCGCTCAGCAACCCCATTCTGCTGTGGTGAGTCCGGCAGGGTGTACGACTGGGTGATGCCCTCCGCACGACAGAACTATCCAAGCCGACCAGAGGCGAACTCGCCGCCACGGTCAGAGTGGAGACACAACACGGGGAGATCGTGGTGAAGACGCGTAGCCACAACCCACGGGAGAAGAACGTCGTGCACGTCAGCCTTCCGCTCCAGGGGAAACACTGTGGTGTAGCGCGTGTAGTCGTCGACGAGCACAAGAAAGTAACGCTCACCGCGCGGTCCGGAGACGGGGGCTGGGCCCCAAACGTCCAAGTGCAGGATCTGAAGGGGGGCAGTAGCAGGGCGCAGCGAGGAGGAGTGAGGAGCACGGCGGAGCCGGCCCTCAACGCAAGGCGTGCACGGTGGCGCAGACGAGGGAGGAAGGGCAGGGAGCGACGCGGGGAGACCTAAGACAAGACCGTGCTGGGACATGTGACGTAGACGCGAGAGAGCAGGGTGACCTAGGCGGTGGTGCCAGAGAAGGGACGGGTGAGTGAGGGACCGATACGAGCAAGCTACAGCGACCTGGGAGGACGCACCAACCGGGGGGGAAGCGGTGTCGAGGGTAAACAGACCGGGCACCGGGTCCTGGGGGAACGTCGCAAGGGGAGAACCTGAGACAGCCTCAGAACAGACAGCGAACCGCTCGTGCCCGGGGAACGTGGTGGTGACGCCGAGGTCCTGGAGACAGCCGACACCAACCAGGTTCCTCGAGAACGAGGGAACGTGGAGGCCTGTAAGGGAGCCCGAGGGAACTGTTGGACAAGGAAGGGACGTGGAACTGCGAGCGACGACAGGACCCGCAGAGGGGTCAGCGAGAGAGACAACAGCAGGCGTAGTAAGCGGCGTGAGAGCGGAACGGTCGCGGAAGAAGCAGACAGAAGCACCGGAGTCGAGAGTGAAGGACAGCGAGGCAGTGGTGGAGGCCGGGAACGGAGCCGGTGCAGAGACTAGGCTAGGCAAACTAGGCAGTCCTACGCCTGACGCAGCAGGGGAGGCTAAGCTACGCAACGGTGCAACACCTAAACTAGAGTACACAGGGTAATAAGATCCAGCAACACTAGAAGCGTCAGAATACAAGGCATGCAAAGCAGCACCTATCTGATCCATGTCTAACTCAAAGATCGGCACGCCCTGGCGGAGCAGGCTGTGCCAGTCGGGGAGGTCCGGGGCTAGGCCAAAGCGACGACGAAAGAGATCGTCGAGGCGGCGGAAACAGCCGGCGGTCGGGTGCGGGCGGCGGCACAGAGTGTCGCGAAGAGGCCCGGTCTGAAGCTGGTACTGGCAAGTGACAGCACCGGAGCCGCCAGAGGACACCGGAGCCGCCACCACGGCCACTGCCTCCGGAGGTGCCGGGCCAACCAGGCGGGAGACGGGCCCACGGCTGCGGCGACTGCTGCTGGGACGGCGGCTGCTGCTGGGACGGCGGCTGCTGCTGGGGCTGCTCCTGCTGCGGCTGGGGCTGCTGCTCCTGCCCACCGGTGGTAGTCCCCTCAGGCGGACTACCGTCACGACGACCACCACCACCACCTGCGCCACCACCCCTACCTCCCTGGCGACCACTGCCACCGCGGCGCGAGCGCTGCTGCGGGTGGACCGCAGCAGCCGTCTCGGTGAGAGGGGTCGCCGTGGCGACCGCAGCCGAAACGTCAGTGAACGTGCACTGGGAGGGGGCACAGCCGTGAAAGATAGAGACTGCCGGCGCACCGCTTGACTGAGCAATAGTGCGCTGGCGAGTCTCAATCTCGGTGAGGGTGTCGACAAAGGCGGTGAGGGTGAGGTCACCCGGGTGCTGGCTAAGGAAGTGATCGCGAGCACTAGCGAGGCAGTCTGGCAGGCGCATGGCGATAAAATAGAGCGTCGTGCAGAAAGGGGGGGGGAGCGCAGTGAGCTGGGCAGCAGTGCTGGCAGTGCGATAGCGGGTCTCTAGGGCACGCAGGTGAGTGGCAAAGTCTGCGACGGTAGGGAAGGCTGCAAGGTCTGGGAACAGCATCGGGAAGAGCAAGCGGCCAGCAGAAGCAGACGCGGGTGTGGAATAGTGAGCAATAACGGCAGCTAAGTAAGCTTTGGCCGTCTCAACAGTAGCAAAACGCGAGCGCTCAGACACAGGGAGGGTGTGGCTAATAGCAACCTGAGCGACTGCATCGCGGGAGTCCCAGACCGCACAGGCAAGCGCAGCAGTAGAGAAGGTCTCACGGTCATCAGAGGAGAGGTCAGCAGGGAGGGGAGCAGGTGCGGGGGGGCGGGGGAGTAAGCCATCGACATGGACAACCAAAGAGTGGCCATCTTGGCGCTGACCTGTAAGGTGGCGGCGGAGATCGGAGAGCCAGTCGGCGAAGTCAACCGCATGGCCCTCGGCGTCCAGTCGGAGCACGAAGTCAGCCATCGTGCAGGGTCAGCGGCACAGCTCCACAGCTCCGCAGAAACACAGCGACGCAGGGACACGGCGGCAGCACTCTCTAGCACGGCGGCCGCGAGGCGCCCCAGCGCTGGCGAGCAGAGTAGACGGAGCCCGAGGTGGCACGGCAGGCCGAGCAGGCACAAAGAGGGGCCGGGCGGGCAGTGGGAGAGGCCAGGCAGACGCGGCGGGGCCAGGCAGGCGCGGCGGGGCCAGGCAGGCGCGGCGGGGCCAGGCAGGCGCGGCAGGGCCAGGCAGGCGCGGAGGGGTCAGGCAAGCGCGGCGGGGCCAGGCAGGCGCGGCAAGGCCAGGCAGGCGCGGAGGGGCCAGGCAGGCGCGACGGGGCCAGGCAGGCCGCGACGGGGCCAGGCAGGGCGCGACGGGGCCAGGCGGGCACGGAGGGGCCACGCAGGCGCGACGGGGCCAGGCGGGCGCGACGGTGCCAGGCAGGGCGCGACGGGGCCTAGCGGGCGCGACGGGGCCAGGCAGGGCGCGACGGGGCCGTAGCGGGCGCAACAGGGCCTTGGAGGCACGACGGGGCCCAGGAGGGGCGTGACGGGGCGAGGAGGCGCGACGGGGCCCAGGAGGGGCGCTAGGAGGCGCGACGGGGCCCAGGAGGGGCACGACGGGGCTAGGAGGCACGACGGGGCCCAGGAGGGGCGCGACGGGGCTAGGAGGCGCGACGGGGCCCAAGAGGGGCGCGACCGGGCTAGGAGGCGCGACGGGGCCCAGGGGGGGCGCGACGGGGCCCAGGTGGGGCACAACGGGGCTAGGAGGCACGACGGGGCCCAGGAGGGGCGCGATGGGGCTAGGAGGCGCGACGGGGCCCAGGTGGGGCGCAACGGGGCTAGGAGGCGCGACGGGGCTAGGAGGCGCGACGGGGCCCAGGGGGGGGCGCGGCGAGGCCTAGCTAGGGTACGGGCAAAAGCGGTAGGTGGGGGATTCTAACCTACGCGTGATACCATTTTCAAATAAGAACTGAATAATGACTAGAAGGAGAAACCTAGAACAAATACTAGTTGGTTGTACTCACAAGAAGCAAACCCCAATCTAGCCTATAACTTCTACATAACTAATATGTATAAGTTGACATCACCACCACCATCACCATCATCACCATCACCATCATCACCATCACCATCACCACCATCACCATCACCATCACCACCACCACCAACATCAGCAAAATCAGCAGCATCACCATCCTTCGCTGCTGCAGCATCAGCAGCATAGCCGTCCATGTCACCACCACGGGCAGCAGCGCCAGAGTCCCCCTCATTCACATCACCGCCTCGACCACCACCACCATTGCCCTCTCCTCCCTCCACTACCGCTGCAGCCACAAAGCACGCTCCACTCCCACCCATCCTGCCATCCTCCCCTGCACTCCCACCCTCACTCCAATCCCAACCCACATCTGCACCCATGCCCATGCTTCCACCATCTCTCCCAGCCCCACCCCCACCCCCACCCTTCCCCATCCCCATCCCCATCCCCATCCCCATCCCCATCCCCATGCCCGTGCCCATGCCCATGTCCAGGTTCGGTGCATCTGCGCTGTCGTCATTCATCACCTCCTCCAGGTGGCGGAAGAAGTGTGACACGTGGGTGCGCTCCAGCAGGACGCACGACGACTCATAGACGTGGGCCTAAGCCGAGCCACACCCGGCTCGGCTCGGCTCGGCTCGCCTTTTTGGCGAGCCGAGCCTCTTTTTTTTGTACCCGGCTCGTGGCGAGCCGAGCCGGCTCGGCTCGGTCGAGTCGGCTGGCTCGGCTCGGCTCGTTGCTGTTTTTTATGGCGAGCCGGGGCGAACCGGCTCGCCCCCGGCTCGTTTTCGAACCAAGTGGCTCGTGCCTCCGGATTTGGGGGGATTTGGGGGGATTTGTGGGGATTAGGGGGGATTGGCGTGGGTACAGTTTGTAGATCGACAAAACACTCTCCTCACAAACTACTACCACGCCATCCTCACCCAAATCACACTAGCCCTAGCCAGCAACTACATCGTTCGTACCTAGCGAGCGCCTTAGCCAGTTTTAAAGCATTACCTAGTCTAGGTTAGGAGTTTAGGTAGGGCTTGGCGGCCTCAAACAGGGGTCCCAAAAACCCACTAACCCCTAAAAAACAGCAAGGCGAGCCGAGCCGAGCCGGCTCACCGACGAGCCGGCGCCGGCTTGCCAACATGGGGGCGAGCCGAGCCGGGCATCTCGGGGTCCCGGCTCGTGGCGAGCCGAGCCGGCTCGGCAGCGAGCCGGCTCGACTCGACCCCAAAACGAGCCGAGCCGAGCCAGGCTCGGCTCATGCCCACGTCTACTCAAACATGTCCTGCCGGTACCCGCACGCCCCTCCCAACAGCCTCCCCTCCCGTGCGAACATAACGCCGTGCTGATGGGTGGGCGGGTGAGTGTGGGGAGGGGCAGCATGGGGAGAAGAGAAATGAAGGCAGGAGGCTCATTGTGAGGCATGGGAGGGGCAGGCACAAACCATGTCGATCACGAGGCGTCTCAAAAGTGGCGCGAGCAAAGAGGTGAAAGCAACACGTGCGGGCGCTCCAGCACCACGCACGCCGACTCAAACATGTTCTGTCGGTAACCGCATGCCCCCCCAGCCGCTCCCTTGCGCGCGCAAACGCAACGCCAAACGTGCTGATGGGAGAGTGGGTGGGCGGGTGAGTTGGCGGGTGGATGGGTGAGGGGGAGCAGCGGCAGGAGCAGAACAGAAATGAAGGTATGAGGTTGCATGGCGGGTGTGTGGCACGGGTAGGGGGGACTTACGCGAACCAAAACTTGTAGCTGGCGCGACCAGAGAGGCAGGCAAGTGTACAGAACCTCCCATCAACGGCAGGCATGCAGGGGGTTCTGTTCAGGGGGAATATGGTAGGCAGGGGTTTTTGTTGTGCCAAGCAGTGCCGATGGTACGTGACATCCTTACCCATGCGGTGGCCCAGCCTGGGTTTGCATGACACTCCCACGATGGATGAGCGCGGATGGGATGATGGCACGGCAGTGATGCCTGTTGAGTCCACTCCATCGGAAGCACAGGGGATTTTCTACCAAGCTGAAGGCATGGAACCTCGGGATTCAAAACCCGACTGGATTCCGTAATCCAGCATTGCCCCCTTCTGCTTCCCCTCCTGGGGCTAAACCCATCGGAATCTGAATCAGAGGGGGAGCGAGAATCGGAGTCCCAGGGGGAGTCTTCCCATCCCGACACATGCGTTTCCCACACCTGGAATCCCCATCCTCCCCGCCTCTGCTTGGAGACCCTGTCTTCCCCATCAGATCACTCTCCTGCATGCCAGTTGTTGAACTCTCCACCTCATCACTCATCCTCCTCACTCCCATCGTCGTCATGCTCCCCATCACTCTTATCGCCCTCAACCTCCCCCACACTCCTATCATCCTCGCCCTCCTCCTCACCCTCCTCCTCGCCCTCCTCACCCTCCTCGCCCTCCTCACCCTCCTCGCCCTCCTCATCCTCCTCATCCTCCTCACCCTCCTCCCCCTCCACCAGGTGCCGAATCTCCTCGGGCAAGTCCGTCAGGCCAGGGCAGCTGAAAATACAGATGCGCACGAGGGAGGGGCAGCGGGCGAGGCTGGCGGGCAGCTGGCGAATCGCTGGGCAACCAGTGAGGGTTATCTTTTGAAGGCTCGTCAGGCGGTGCATATCTTGGGGGAGGAAGGAGAGCCCTTTGCAGTGGTAGATCATGAGAATCTTCAACGCACCAAGCTGCGAGAAGGACTCAAGGACTCGGGCAGTCCGCGGAGAGAAGCACAGCCCTCTAGCTTCAGCGTCTGAAGGCGCTGCAGCTGCCCGATCGACCCCGGGAGGCTCTGGAGACTCCTCAACCCTAACAGAACCAGGTGCTCAAGGGCAGACAGAAGATTGACTGTTTCCGGCAGCGCAAAGCGGGGATTAAAGCGAGAGATTTCAAGGCGGCGAAGGCGAGAGAGCTGCGGCAGAACGGATGGCAGGCGACTGAGGTTGATGGTATCCAGATCCAACGATGTCAGGTTGCTCAAATCCCCCAGGTCTTCAGGCAGCTGCACGGAGCACAGAGCCAGGGACAGCCTCTCGAGGGAGGACAGCCGTGTGATGGACGCTGGGAGTTCCTCCACCTCAGGGCAGAACCAGATCTTCAGAAGACGGAGCCCCTGCAGCTGCCCAATTTCCTCGGGCAGCCTGGCAAGGCTTGCCAGGCTGATCTCGAGTATTTCCAGGGAAGTGCAGTGGCAGAGTGTAGCGGGGAGTGAAGGAAGGACGTCAGAGCCACAGGCTTTGAATTGGGTGAGTTTCAAGAGCCGTCCGATGGATTCAGGCACCGATGCCAAGGCGCTGCACTCCTCCAGCTCCAACTTCCGCAGATTGGAGCGATCCCCCAGGCTGCTGGGCAGCGATGCGACCAGAGGTGCCAGCAAGCAGAACGACTCCAGCGCGTGAAGCGCGCCGAGCTCTTCAGGCAGGTGCAGCAGGTGGTCTGACGTTATGCTGAGCCGAACGAGCCCAGCCAGATGGGACACGCTGGCGGGGAGCGCGGTGATGCCAGGCGGGCAATCGAAACATAGCTCCTTCAAACGCGTACACACTCGGAAGAGCTTATCGAGCCCCGGGGGAGGAGCTCCGTCGTCGGCGTCCTCTTCAGCTTCGGACTCGTCTTCCGCTTCAAGGGAGTCGCAGTACAGCTCTAGGCTTTCGAGCCGGGGACGCGCGTCCGCGATTTTCCCGAAGAGGGAGCCCGTTAAGGAGTCGACTCCGAGTTTAGGCTCGGCATTCGCGAAGCGTTGCGGATGAGCCGCGAAGAGGAGACGAACAATTCCTGAGGCCGGTCATCCAGCAGGTTGATGGATGTGATCGCGACATACGCGAGTCCAAGCCAGCGGCGACACACCAGCACGTGGGAGCCTCGGGAGGGGGAGGGGGAGGAGGGGGAAACAGCGGGAGACGCGGCGGCGGGAGAGGAGGAGACATCGAATTTGGATGATGTAACGGAAGGGTGTTGCTGGTCGGTAAGAGCGTCGGATAAAATAGGAGATTCTTGCTCGAGACAACGAAAAACCTTGATGAGTAGTTCGTCTGAGAGAACCGATGAGGCTGCTATTGGGACGAGAAGATGGGCAGAGGACGGGAGGATCACCTTCGGGACAACGAGAGGAAGCCATGATGGCCTTTCTAAGAGTTTTTTTACTAATATCTAGTACGAACCACTGGGTGAGTTGGGTGCGAGAAGTGGAGACCGACGAAGTAGGGGTGCGAGTGAGTAGCAATGTGAGGTCGCTGCGATCAACGGATAGACAAGTCCAGCTGGAGCAAGGTGTGGTGGTGATCTGGGATGGGGTGACGAGGGAGATAGTGCTGGAGTGGTCTTTCAATGGCTGTTTTATTATGGGAGGAAGAAAAGCTGCATGTCAGTGGTTGAGAGAGGAAAGTCCCGGCGGTAATAAGGGCGTGTAACATTTTTCTGAACAAGAATCTAACCACTAATAAAACAAAAAGTAACATTTTTCTCAAATCTCGTCAGAACTTCGCGGATTGCCGAGGCGCGACAGTACACGGAAAATGTTCCTGCAGCGAGTACAACAGTCTCAGCAATTTGGCTCTGAGGGCGTATCCAGCGCATTCATTTGGCCCTAACACGCGCTTTTTACGTCTACTGTACATGCTCGGAAAAATGTTACGGGGAATGTAGATGTCCCGAGGCTCACATTTCGACCACAGAGAGTGTAAGGAATTTCCATTCCTTACTGAGTCGTCCGCTACCGCGTGCATCCGAACTCCTCGACTCGTCACGTTCGGCCTCGATTGTCGGCCCAACCCTTTCCCAAATCGCGTTTGACACTGTAGCCACATTGCCGAACCTACCCGCGTTTCAATGTTATCGCCCTAGTACGCCAAGCCCTATATAACCTCGTGCTTTCATTGCAATAGCGACCTTGTATTCTCACGTTATAGTTCATTGACATCTTCTAAATCATAACAAAGAGCATGCTTGCCCCGGCCTTGTGTCCAGCCTTTGACACTACAAGCACAGCGAAAATCAAAAGATCCTGGCGAAAGAAATGGAGTCACGGTATTACGAGCCTGGAAAACGAGGCCTCGCTGTTTTTGCTACGGCATTAACGAATTTGTCCAAACATGACGAAGTCGTATACCGTAATCCCTCGTATATAACTGTTAAGATTATATAAGTTATATATAATTGATAAGCTTGGTAGTTGTTACTGAACCTTTCTGTAGAGGGTACAATCCCCTCGTACCTCTCTCTCTTCCTAAGTGTTACTCTTCTTTCTCGTCACTTCTACTCCCTTCCCAGATCTACTTTCCTCACGCCATTCCATGGCGCCATTCCTTGCATCATAGCTTCCTAGCTAGGCTAGTGTCCTAAGTTTAAGAAGCTCCTTACTTCTTCAGTTCTAAGATGGTATCAGAGCAGGAGGTCCTCCCTGCTGGACAGCCTCCTCACGCTTCCGCCGCGTAATCCTCACCCTCGTTCGCTTGCGCGGCCATGGCGGCCGCGTTTTGCTGCAGTGGCGGCGTCGCGATGCCACTGGCCGCGTCGTGCCGCGGCCGACTCGAAGCGCTGCCGTGGAGTCGGGCCGTCGTTCTGCCGTCGCAGCGTCGACGTCCCGCTGCGGCATCGACGCCGCTCTGTGACGGCGCCGTCGGGCTGCAGCCGGCCGCGCGATGCCTGTGGCGCCGCTAAAATGCCCGCCCGCACGCCAGCCGGCCGCGCGACGCCTGTGGCGCCGCACTGAAGATTCGAAGCCCCGCCCCTTCCCCCCTTTCCTCTATCCCCTCCTCTTCGCCACAGCCGCTGCAGACTCTCGCTGGTCGTCCCTCTGTCGCGGAGGTTGGACACGCCACCGGAAGGGCGGGGGCCGCTGCACTCACCGCCGTCGTAAGCCGAAGCCGTCGCCGTCGCCGCTGCCGTCGTCTCAGGCCATTTTGCCGCCGCAGGCCATTTTGCCGCCGCACGCCCGTCGTCGCCGTCGCTGTCGCCGCGGCCGGGACTGTCGCCGTCGCCATCTCCAAGGCCTTTTAAACCCTGTTGGAGTCGTTGTGGCTGATGGGTATGGGGGTGCTAGGTTAGGGGGTGTGGGGGTGTGTGTGGGCTTGTGACTACCAAGCCTAGGGGGTGTGTTAAGATTATATAAGTTATATATAATTGATAGGCTTGGTAGTTATTACTGAACCTATCTGTAGAGGGTACAATTCCCTCCTTGTACCTCTCTCTCTTCCTAAGTGTTACTCTTCTTTCTCGTCACTTCTACTCCCTTCCTATATCTACTTTCCTCACGCCATTCCATGGCGTCATTCCTTGCATCATAGCTTCCTAGCTAGGCTAGTGTCCTAAGTTTAAGAAGCTCCTTACTTCTTCAGTTCTAAGAATAACACCATATGGTGTATATAAAAATTCACTAAAAAAATGACTTGGTGTTAACAGTGGCCCGGAAAAATATAGTGCATATGTGTTATGTAAAATGCAATTTGGATTTGAGTGTTTCAGGCCATGTGTGTTCACAAATGCGCGGAGCGACTGTTAGCGAGGTATAGCATCCGCTAAGACGAAACTCACGAACCAATCGTCGTTGGCCAATCACTGCTGAGTGTTGTGGTTAGGGCCAGGTTTGTGCGGCACCTGCCACCGTCATGATCACGACAGAATCCGCGACTTCGACGGGAGGATTTCGCTCGGGAGGATTCTGACCGTCAAATCACAACAGAATCCGCGACTTCGACGGTCGAAATCCTCTCGAGTCTCGACCTTTGCTGACGTTTCGATTTCGCGCTGCAACTTATGTTGAAGTTACTGCCCGTTTTTTCGCTGCTAATGGTAGTTGACATTGCGTTTTTCATCATGTTCATTTTTTTTTCGCAATCGAGATGAGCTTGAAAAACTACGAAATATTGTTATTTGCTGCATAAAACGAGGAGGGTGTTATGTAAAATGCAACCCCCGAAAAGCGGGTGCTCTTCTAGATTCACCCTATCATAAGCTCTCCCCCGTATTAGATTCACCCTATCATAAGCTCTCCCCCGCATAAACCATCCGCGGAGTGACTATTTCGGCAGGTGTTATATACGGGGGATTACGGTATTTACCTATTGCCAGCTAGGATTTGTCGTTGCTGGCGGGAGTTCATTTCGGGCACGATTTCCAGCCACTTTCAAAACGTGCGCCACACTACTGCTTGAAATAACTTGTCCAATATTGTAGAAGACTAAGTATAAAACTGCAAACACAAACACTTGGAAATCCTCAAGTGTTGGTCCAGAATCTTTACTGGAATGGTATGTCAACTTATACATGTCATCCATGTAGCAGTTATAGGCTAGTATCGGTGTGTGCTCCTAGGGAGTACAACCCAATAGCTATATGTTTCTTGTTTCACCTTCTAGTCATTATTCTAGTATGCTAACATGGTATCACGCTTAGGTTAGGTCCCCCCGCCCACCCGCTTCCGCCCGCGCCCTAGCCTACGCGCCCTAGCTAATCCCCTCCCCCCTTAGCGCTAGGCCCCCGTCGCGCCCGCTAGGCCCCGACGCGCCCGCTAGGCCCCCGTCGCCCCCTCTAGGCCCCGTAGCGCCCTCCTGGCCCCCGTCGCGCCCTCCAGGCCTCGTAGCGCCCTCCGGGCCCCCGTCGCGCCCTCCAGGCCCCGTCGCCCCCCTCCTGGCCCCCGTCGCGCCCTCCAGGCCCCGTAATGCCCTCCTGGCCCCGTCGCGCTCCCCAGGCCCCCGTTGCACCAGCTAGGCCCCCGTCGCGCCCGCCTGGCCCTGTCGCGCCTGCCTGGCCCCGTCGCGCCCGCCTGGTCCCGTCGCGCCTGCCTGGCCCCGTCGCGCCTACCTGGCCCCATCGCGCCTGCCTGGCCTTGTCGCTCCCACCTGGCCCCGTCGCGCCCGCCTGGCCCCGTCGCGCCTGCCTGGCCCCTGTCGCGCCCGCCTGGCCCCGTCGCGCCTGCCTGGCCCCGTCACGCCTGCCTGGCCCCGTCGCGCCCGCCTGGCCCTGTCGCGCCCGCCTGGCCCCGTCGCGCTCACCTGGCCCATCCGCGCCCGCCTGGCCCCGTCGCGCCCGCCTCGCACCTCCGCGCCCGCCTGGCCCCGTCGCGCCCGGCTGGCCCCTCCGCGCCCGCCTGGCCCCGTCGCGCTCGCCTGGCCCCTCCACGCCCGCCTGGCCCCACCGCGCTCGCCTGGCCCTTTCACGCCCTCCTTGCTCAGGCACGCTCACCTGGCCCCACTGCGCCCGCCCGGCCCCTCCTAGCGCTGGCCCGGCCCCCCCTTCCTAGGGCCACTCGGCCCCTCCTAGCGCTGGCCTGGCCCCCTTCCTAGTGCCGCCCGGCCTTTTCGCGCCCGCCAGGCTCCTAGCGCCCGCCCGGCCCCGCTGTGCCTCTCCGACTTCTAGCGCCAGCCCGGCCCCTCCTACTGCCCGCCCGGCCCCTCCTCCTTCCTGCTCGGCCTGCCGTGCCACCTCGGGCCTTGTCTCCTCTGCCCACCTGCCCTGGGGCACCTCGCGGCCGCCCTGCTGGAGAGTGCTGCCGCCGTGTCCCCGCGCCGCTGTGTTCCTGCGGAGCTGTGCTGCTGTGTCGCTGTGGAGCTGTGTCGCTGACCCTGCACGATGGCTGACTTTGTGCTCCGCCTGGACGCTGAGGGCCACGCGGTTGACTTCGCCGCCTGGCTCTCCGATCTCCGGCGCCACCTTACAGGTCAGCGCCAGGATGGCCACTCTTTGGTTGTCCATGTCGATGGCTTGCTCCCCCCCCCACCTGCTCCTGCTCCCCTCCCTGCTGAACCCTCCTCTGATGACCGTGAGACCTTCTCTACTGCTGCACTTGCCTGTGCGGTCTGGGACTCCCGCGATGCAGTAGCTTAGGTTGCTGTTAGTCATGCCCTCCCTGTGTCTGAGCGCTCGCGCTTCGCTACAGTTGATACGACCAAAGCTTATTTAGACGCCGTTATTGCTCGCTATTCCACACCTGCATCCGCTTCTGCCGGCCGCTTGCTCTTCCCGATGCTGTTCCCAGACCTTGCAGCCTTCCCTACTGTCGCAGACTTTGCCACTCACTTGCGTGCCCTAGAGACCCGCTATCGCACTGCCAGCACTGCTGCGCAGCTCACTGCGCTCCCCCCCCCCTTCTGCATGACGCTCTATTTTATCGCCATGCGCCTGCCGGACCGCCTAGCTAGTGCTCGCGACCACTACCTTAGCCACCACCCAGGTGACCTCACTCTGACCGCTTTTGTCGACACCCTCACCGAGATCGAGACTCGCCAGCGCACTATCGCTCAGTCGAGCGGTGCGCCGGCAGTCTCTATCTTTCACGGCTGTGCC